AAACCTGCAATCATAGCCTCATACTCAGCCTCATTATTAGTTATAGAATTACATTTGATAGCTTGTCGAATGGTTTCACCCGTGGGTGGTACCAAAACAATCCCTAAACTTGCACCCTTTACATTAGATGAGCCATCAACAAATAAAATCCAAGTTCCTGGGTTAGCTCCATTGAATACCTGTAATTCTTTGTCTGCTTCTAATTGCATTCCCTGACTAAAATCAGCCACGAAATCAGCTAACACTTGTGATTATATAGCAGTTCTAGGTTGGTACGTGATTTCGTATTCACTTAACTCTATTGCCCACTTAGCCAACCTACCTGATAATTCATGCTTATGCAATATATTACGTAAAGGATAGGCGGTTACTATAGCAATAGGATGACACTGAAAGTAAGGCCTTAATTTCCTAGATGCCATGATTAATGCGAGTGCAAGCTTTTCCAATTGAGGATACCGCGTTTCCGCATCTAAAAAAGATTTACTAACATAATAGATAGGGGATTGTTTACCTTGTTCTTCTCAAACCAAAACCGCACTTACCGCTACTTCGGAAACAGCAAGGTAAAGGAGCAATCTTTTCCGAGCCTTTGGTTTTGCTAGCAACGGTGGATTCGATAAGTATACTTTCAAATTCCTGAGTGCTTGTTGACACTCTTCGTTCCATTCAAAATGATCCTGCTTCTTAAGAACTGAGAAGAATTTAAAACACTTTTCTGATGATTTAGAAATGAATCTTCCCAAAGCTGCAATCCTCCCTGTTAATCTTTGAACCTCTTTCTTGCTCGAGTGTATATCAGGGATTTCTTCAATGGCCTTAATCTGTGCAGGACTCACCTCAATACCACGGTTAGAAACAAGAAAAGCTAAGAACTTACCTGATGCAACACCAAATGCAAATTTTTCAGGATTTAACTTCATATTAAATTTCCGCAAAATTTAAAAGTTTCAGATAGATGCGATATATGATCTCCTGAATACTGAGTTTTAACAAGCATGTCATCTATGTATACCTCCATAGTCTTACCTAAATGCTCTTGAATCATTTTGGTAACTAACCTCTGATATGTTGCGCCTGCATTCTTTAGACCAAAGGGCATTACTTTATAACAATAAGTCCCCCTGTCTGTTATGAAGGAAGTTTTTTCTTCATCTCCTGGATCCATTTTAATCTGATTATACCCTGAATATGCATCTAAAAACTTAATAGTTCATGACCTGCAGTTGCATCAATCAATTGATCTATGTGTGGCAGTGGAAAAGAATCTTTAGGGCAAACTTTATTAAGATCTGTGTAATCTACGCAAACCCGCCACTTACCGTTCTTCTTTGGAACTACAACAGTGTTAGCTAACCAATTAGGATACTTTACCTCACGAATAGAACTAATTTTTAGCAATTTTTGGACTTCTTCTTGAATCACCTGATTCTTGAAGGTTCCTTGCTTTCTTTTATTTTGCTTGACTGGGGGATATGATGGATCTTCATTTAGTTTATGAGTCATCACCTCCGGTGGTATCCCTGCCATGTCAGAATGGGACCAAGCAAAACAGTCTGCGTTAGCTTTCAAAAATTCAATCAACTTACGTTTCATCTCCGGGATAAGATTGGCTCCTATATACACTTTTCTCTATGGCCATTGTATAAAAAAAACCACGGCCTCCAGCTCTTCTATCGTTGTTTTAATGTTTTCATTTTCTTATAGTTCTTGAATGGAATCGGGCCTTGAATCTATATCTGTTTGCTCTTGTTCAGTTGAGATTGACGCTATGTTATCCTCAACTGGATTCTGTAATTGCTATTTTTCTTCACCCTTCGTACTTGAATCTGCCACGGTGTTGATGCTCCTGGATGTCTGTTGATCTCCCCTGATTTGACAGATTCCCCATGGCGCTGGGAATTTAATGACTTGATGCAAGGTTGGAGGAACAACATTCATTTCATGGATCCATGGTCTCCCAAGAATCATATTGTAAGCCATCTCCATATCTACCACCTGGAACTTTGTATCTGTGATGACTCCTTCAGCGAATGTGGTGAGTATTACCTCTCCTTTTGTGACAACACTAGAATTATCAAATCCAGATAGAGTATGCGCCTTTGGTATCACGTTATCTTCAGCTTGCATCTCACGTAATACTCTTACCAAAATAATGTTCACGGAACTACCTGGATCAATTAAAACTCGTTTCACGTTAGTGTCATGTACAAGTAAAGATATTACCAGTGCGTCGTTATGTGGAGTTAATAGACCCTCAGCATCTGCATCATCGAACATAATATTTTCTCCCTCGAAGACATGTCGAGGCCGCTTCCCTTGGGTAATTATTACTTTAGAAACCTTTTTATATGATACGTTGTTGATCTCTTCACCCCCACTTATAACGTTGACAGTTCTCTTGGGAGAAGGCGGTTTTGGAGGCCCCTGCATGTTCTTCATTTATGCTTGTTTACCTTTCTCACTAAATAGTTCGGTGAGATATCCTTGTTTTAACAAATGATCAACTTCACCTTGCAAAAACCTGCAATCTGCTGTTTTATGCCCATGATCGTTATGAAATTCGCACCAATGATCAGGGTTTCGTCTGTTCGGATTTGATCTCATTTCCTTGGGCCACCGTACCTTGTCTCCCATGCTTCTTAAAACAACCACGAGTTCAGAAGTGCTGACGTTGAAATTATAACCTCCAAACCTTGCCTTTAGACCTCCATCATTGTCTCGTGGCTCACGTGCGCTTCGGTCACTCCCAAATATTGATGATGAGCCTGACTCTCTATTACTTGATCTGTGATCGTACCTCTGATTATCCTGCTTTGATCGTGAGTCTCTTCCCGCAGGTCCCATGTATGGCTCGTACCTGTTTTTACCGGACCTTTTTTCGTTTTCAGCCCGTCTTGAGCTTACCTTTTCTTCTTTTTGATGTCGTGAAATAATATCTTCTTCAATCCTCAATTTTGTGCTATAACGATTGTAAACATCATTTCATGTTGTAGCTGGGAATTCTCGAAGGCTTTCCTTGAGTCGCCTCGTAGCTTCTGAGCTTTTTTCATTCAAATTGCTCGTGAATGCTATAGCTGCCCAGTTATCCGGTACACGTGGCAATGTCATTCTTTCACGCTGAAATCTGTCCACAAATTTCCTAAGCAATTCTGAGTCCCCTTGTTTGATCTTGAAAATATCTTCCATTCTTTTTTCGACTTTTTGGGCTCCTGAGTGTGCTTTGATGAAAAAATCCGCAAGCTCAGCAAAAGAATTTATAGAATTTTCGGGTAAAAGAGAATACCATGTTAGTGCTCCTTTAGTGAGTGTTTCACCAAATCTTTTGACTAATATAGATTCGATCTCCTGCTTAGTCAAATCATTGCCTTTTACGTCTGTTGTGAAAGCAGTCACGTGGTCTCGCGGGTCTGTTGTTCCATCGTATTTTGGCATCTCAGGCATTTTGATTTTCTTTGGGATTGGAAGGGGAGCAGCACTTGGCTTCCAAGGTTGTTATGAATATTTATCCATATCTACCCCTTTGATCACTGGTGGCACCCCGAGTATTTTCTCTATGCGGTCATTTTGCTCCTTGAGCTGTTTCTGCAATGTTAATACTAAATTTTGTAAATTAGAATTAACTAAATTACCTGGTTCTCCCTCCTGTGATTCGCTGGGGGTTCCACCACTACCTGAATTAACGAGTCCGGAACGAGGGTTCTCTAGAGTGTTGTTATTTGGTGTGGGTGTAGGCGGTGCAGCAGGTAATTGGCTAACAAAAGCCTGAAGAGCTTTATTGACTTGAGAGGCAATAAGTTTTTGTAAAGCCTCATCCATAGTTTCAACATTCTCGAATTGAGCTTGTCCATCTGTATGAGACCCATCAGGAGTGCCTTCACGAGACCGCCGTGGAGAGCCTTGTGGAGAAGTAATCAGTACGTTATTGTTCTGTGGATCTCCCTGAAGTTGCTGGGTTGTTTGATTTTCCTGGTTTCCCTGAATGTTGTCATTGTTGTTCGACATGGTTGATGCAACAAGGGAAGTTAGGCTAAAATAAAATGGATTATCAGATTCTCGGCAACGGAACCAATTTGTTTAACCAAAAAATGGAATTTTAACTAAAGCTATATTTTTAGAAGAACACGGGTTACTGATAATCGCAAGAATATATAAAATAGAATAATTTGAATAGCCAAAATATAATTGAATAAAGCAAGTAATTTAAAGTATATTTAGATGATTTTTCCTGTGTCTACAATTGTTCAGTCTTCTCCTTTTATAGCTATCTTAGATGTAAGTGCCATATTTTGGTCATAATAAGGTTATTATGAGCAATAAATGACATTGAATGCTACGTTACATAATCATTACATTTAAGACAGATTCTCTAACGTTTTCAGCATTTAATGCTTATCAAATATTGTATTTGGACCCTCGTATGCTGTCAGATTCATTCCTTCTGATTCTCGGATGTAAATGACTTAAATAGGTACGGGCACCGTGTTACTTGTCTGATAGCCGTGCCTCTTCCTCTTTCCTTGCTCGTATCTGTTGTAACTCCTGGCTCGTGGTTAATTGCGATTCTTTGACCATTTGACTAATCCACGTGTCTTGACACGTCACCTTTATACATAAATATACTTTTCTCCAATACAATAACAATTGAGAATCTAGTTGCTCATGTTCATACTCAAAATGGTCTAGCGGAATCATTGATCAAACGCCTCCAATTAATTGCTAGATCAATGCTTATGAGAACAAAACTTCCCATTTCAGCATGAGGCCATGCTATTTTTCATGCAGCAACTCTTGTGCGGATCAGACCTACAAGTTATCATAAAGTTTTCCGAATACAATTGGCTTTTGGCCAGGAGCCAAATATTTCCCATCTTAGAATATTTGGATGTGTAGTATATGTTCTAGTTGCTCCACCACAACGCACGAAGATGGGACTCCAAAGAAGATTGGGGATATATGTTGGGTATGAATCTCCTTCTATTATAAAATATTTGGAACCTATGACTGGAGATTTATTTACGGCAAGATTTGCCGATTGTCATTTTGATGAATCAGTATACCCAATATTAGGGGGAGAAAATAAGCAATTGCAAAAGGAGATAGATTGGAATGCATTATCACTATCTCATTTAGATCCTCGAACAAATCAATGTGAACACGAGGTTCAAAAGATAATATATTTGCAAAATATTGCAAACCAACTACCAGATGCATTCACTAACCTACCAAGGGTGACTAAGTCACATATTCCAGCTGCTAATGCTCCTATTCGAATTGATGTCCCGGTTGGACAATCTATAAATTTAAATGAGTCTAATCTACGCTTGAAACGTGGTAGACCAATTGGTTCCAAAGATAAAAATCCTCGAAAGCGAAAAGGAGCAAATGATCTAGGAGATCATAATGTGGAGGAAATTGCTCAAAAAGAGCCCCGTGACATAACAAATGATAAGACCACAGAGGAGATCCAGGTACCTGAAATTAACAAGAATGAAGAGATCTCAATAAGTTATGTCTTTACGGGAAAAAGATGGAACCGAACTAATATTATTGTCGACAACACTTTTGCTTATAACGTTGCCGTTGCATAATGCAACAAGATGTGGATCTTGAACCAAGATCCATCGATGAATGTAGACAGAGAAACGATTGGCCAAAATGAAAAGACGCCATCCAGGCAGAATTAGCGTCACTTGAAAATGTGAAGTATTCGGATGTATAGTCTGAACACCTGAAGGAATAAAGCCAGTGGGATATAAATGGGTTTTTGTGCGAAAACGAAATGATAAAAATGAAGTCGTTAGATATAAAGCACGACTTGTAGCACAAGGATTTTTGCAAAGACCTGACATTGATTATATGGAGACATATTCTCCTATGGTGGATAAAATCACTTTCAGGTTTCTTATAAATTTGGCAGTCCATGAAAAACTTGATATGCGTCTGATGGATGTTGTCACAGCCTACTTGTATGGTACATTAGACAACGAAATTTATATGAAAATTCCTGAAGGGCTTAAAGTTCCTGAAACTAATAAAAGTTTAACTTGTTCAATAAAGCTTCAAAAATCCTTATACGGATTGAAATAATCAGGCCGAATGAGGTATAATCGCCTGAGTGAGTATTTGTTGAAAGAAGAGTATAAGAATGATCCAATTTGTCCTTGTGTATTTATAAAAAGGTCTGGATCTGAATTTGTTATAATCGTTGTGTATGTTGATGATCTAAATATCATTTGAACTCGTGGGGAACTTCCAAAAGCGGTAGACTGTTTGAAGAAAAAGTTTTTTGGAAAGACAAAATTTTGTCTTGGTCTACAATTGAGCATATGAAAGATGGAATTTTTGTCCATCAATCAACTTATACCGAAAAGATCCTCAAGCGTTTTTGTATGGATAAAGCACATCCATTGAGTACCCCGTTGGTTGTGAGATCACTTGATATAAATAAAGATCCATTCCGACCTCATGAAAATGATGGAGAGCTTCTTGGTGATGAAACTCCATATATTAGTGCATTTGAGGCACTAATGTATCTTGCAAATAATACTCGACCAGATATAACTTTTGCAGTAAGTTTATTAGAAAAATTTAGTTCCTTTCCAACGACAAGACACTGGAATGGTGTTAAGCATATTTTTAGATACCTCCGAGGGACTATTGATATGGGATCATTTTATTCTTATGAATCCGATTCACAAATGATTGGTTATGCAGATGCAGGTTATTTGTCTGACCCACATAAAGCCCAATCTCAAAGAAGCTATCTCTTTACTTGTAGAGGTACGTCTATTTCATGGCATTCAACAAAACAAACTTTAGTTGCTACATCTTCAAATCATGTTGAGATAATAGCTATTCATGAAGCTAGTCGAGAATGTGTATGGTTGAAATTAGTGACTCAACACATTCAACAATTGTGTGGTCTTTCTTTAAAAACGAAGATTCAAACGATATTGTATGAAGATAATGCTGCTTTCATAGCTCAACTAAAAGGAGGATATATCAAAGGAGACAGAACAAAGAACATCTCACCAAAGTTTTTTTGAACGCATGATCTTCAACAAAATAGTGAGATAGATGTTCAACAAATCCGTTCAAGTGATAATCTGGCAGATTTATTCACTAAGGCATTACCAACATCAACATTTGAGAAGCTGAGACATAAGACTGGAATACATCGTCTCCGAGATATCAAATAAAGTTTTCATCAGGGGGAGTATAGTACGCGCTGTACTCTTTTTTCCTTAACCAAGGTTTTGTCCCAAGTGGATTTTCTTGGTAAGGTTTTTAATGAGGCAACACTTAATGCGTATAACAAGATGTATGTACTCTTTTTCCTATACTAAACTTTTTCTCATTGGATCTTTTTTTCTAGTAAGGTTTTAACGAGGCACATTATCTTTTAGATGGACATCCAAGGGGGAGTTTTATGAATATGTTAGAGTGGATGTCCATTGAATACTCCTAGACATCCCTATTCCATGAACCGTTTGAGTTCATGCACTTAGTTAATTCATCACTTAATATTTGTAACCTTTAGGCGGATTCTTGTAACCTTTCATGTATCTTATATCCTATAAATAGGGTATTCTTTATCATATGAGTACACACAAAAAAATACACAATAAGATAGCTTCTACATTCTCCTCTTATATATCTTATCTCTATTACTATATTGTTCTATTTTGCTCTCATTTCTTAATAATAAACAGATAATACTAGGAACGGGAAAAATACAAAAGGAAAGAAAAAACCTTTATACATTTCCCTTACCCAACCGTTTCTAATACTCGCATTTATTCCTATTTGTGGGGTTGCATAAATTAGTAAACCTTAAGTTTAATAAGAAGAAAGAAAAAAAACAGACAGGAGCGTTGTACCTAAGTAGGATGAGTAACCACCAAAGGATGTATTACTGTTCTTTCCTTAACCAGAGGTCTCGAGTTTGAGTCCTGGGTATGAAAAAATTCTTGGTAGGGAACGCTTCCTTCCTGAGTGGGGCCCTACGCGATGCGAATCCGGATATAGTAGATACCGGACACCGGGTGAGAAACCAAAAAAGATAGAATGAGTATCAAAACAGCAGAAAACAAAAGATGTGAAACTAACACAACTCACAAGTGACTAATTTTGTTTTGATTAATGTTGATCTATTGTCTTCTGAAAGTTTGAAAGGTTACAAATTTTCTCATTTGGACCACGTCCAATTTGAATAAATCAACAAATTGACATAGAATCCAAAGGTGTGGGAAAAAAGAAAAAAGGCAAAAGGAATTATATATTTGGAACCATAGGGGAGAAAAAAGAATAATAGGAGTAATCTTTAAGAGTTTTGCTTTACATCCCATTCTAAAGTGACAACAGCATAAAATATTTGTGGCTAACATATGTTTTGACTCAAGCAGAAGAAGGATCAGCTGAGTCAGATACAGCTAGCTCTTTAGTTCCTTGGCAAAATATTCCTCAGCATCAAATACAGCTACGGATGGCTTTAGCCACTTCTTTCGGCCAGGCAAATCAGTCAAACAACAACCAGCTACCTCAAGCTTTTCCTTTGCTGATGCCGAAAAGGCGTGGGCCTTAAAGTTGAGCTTATTGTTGAGTTCGCCATCACCTAAGATCTGAAAATGAAGTCACAACGGAAGTTGATACTGAGAACACTATGTAATGTCATCATACTTTCCAATAGCATTAGGATAGAGATGGTATACGGTCAAAATCATATGCCTCCGATTTATAGGCTCGAGGGTCCGTCATAGGCCCGAGTTCGGGTGAGGTAGAGTTCGAGACCAGTGGACCAGAATCGAGCTCAAAGACAGATTGCAATGCCCGGAGATAGGAGTACGAGGAATACCGGGGCCAAGTATGCTCGACCCCGAAATAGTACCATTAAGAATTTGTAACGGAATGAGCTAGATTCCTGCCACGTCTCCAAAAATCATAGCGCAAATCCCGGAATAGGATTGTACGATTCCGTACTAGACAGTTAGACGGCTGTATCAAGAATATTCCTTACTGTAAATAGAAATATACCTTATTTAGGGATTCCCCTATTATATAAAGGGGACCCAATCATTTGTAACACCACATAATCACTGAGAAAAGAATATACTCTCTACTTTTTGCCTACTGTTCATCATCATTGTCCTTTAGCTCTACTGTTCTTGCTTTACTTTTCTTACTTTATTGCTTTTAGCCCGTCTCGAGGCCACCATCTCGAGGTCACTACTTCAAGTAACATTGGTTTGATTCACTTGTCTCTTTCGCTTCTACTTCATATTTCTTGATTATTAATTGGTATTGAACTAAAACACGTATCTTTAAAACCATAAACCAAATTTAATTGTTACTCGTATTTTCGAGGTAAACAGTTTGGCGCCCACCGTGGGGCTAAAGATAAGAGTGATTATTTCTTTATTGATTCTTATTACACACGTTATTTTTACACTTTTTCTTGTCAAGAATTTTTGATTCTCAAGATATGTCACGACCCGGATTTCCCACCCTCGGGAGTCGTGATGGCGCCTACTAATGTGAGCTAGGCAAGCCAATTCTTGAATTAATTACTTCATTATACAATTATTTCCTTTTAACAATTATAAAGCAATAACGTGTAAACAGCGGAAAATTTAAAATAAGCGGAAGAAAGCAATAAAATATATGAACATGTAGCTATTACAACCGATTAAGCTTTAACCACCCAGAACTGGTGTCACAGTGTCACAGACGATCTAAGGGTGCTAAATACAAAGTCTGAAAATAAAAGATATACTGTCTCAGAATCAAAGAGATGAAACAGGAAATAAGTGATAGAGGAGACGCTAGGGCCTGCGGACGCCTGCAGGTCTACCTTGGATCTCCGCGTGGATTGAAGTTAACCACTCAATCTACGGTCCAAAGTCAACAGCACTGGGATCTGCACAAAAGAGTGCAGAGTGTAGTATCAGCACAACCGACCACATGTGTTGGTAAGTGCCTAGCCTAACCTCGGCGAGGTAGTGACGAGGCTAGGACCAGACTACCAAATAAACCTGTGCAATTCAACTATATACAGCGGAAAAAGGAATACAGAAATAAACAGTCAAATATGGGAGGGGAAGCATGCTGCGGGGAAGATATCAATCCAGTATAGAAAGATAGCAGGTAAATGGAAGAAACAATATATCTCGAATATCAACAAAGAGCCAGAAAACAATAAATGCACGGCATCACCCTTCGTGCTTTTATTCTCGTCCTCACCAAAACAGTCAAGTAATGAAAATGTGCACGGCATCACCCTTCGTGCTTTTACTCTCGTCCTCACCTGTGATGACCCAAAAGATCATCACTTGCTTTTAAATTAAATTCTGTATTCCGAGGCCTTAAAAACCTCTTTTACCTTCACCTCGATTTGCGTGCGCAGTCCGGGCGTGTAGCCGGAAAGCTGTTATGTGAAAAATCCGTGAAATATTAAAATTTTGACTTAAACTGCATTTAAATTGACTTCAGTTAACATTTTTGGTAAACGGACCCGGACCCGTGATGTGACGGTCCCGGAAGGTCCGTAGAAAAATATGGGACTTGGGCGTATGCCCGAAATCAAATTCCG